CAGGCAGGCAGGCAGGCAGGCAGGCAGGCAGGCAGGCAGGTAGGCAGGCAGGCAGGCAGGCAACCAGGCATGCAGGCAGGTAGGCAGGCAGGCAGGTAGGTCACCCTTTTTAGGTTTTTTCCCTCAAGTCTTTATTACCGGCACATTATCTGTTTTTTTACACATTTTTTTTCCCCTTTTTTGGCCTACTATCTTCTTTTTATTTTTACAAGTGCATTTAAGTCTATTTAAGCAGTTCATGTGATATTTGCCATTCAATTTATTTTTTTTTGTGGCCGCACAAAATGATTGTTTCCCCCTTTTTCAACAAAACCCTTCTATTGCTGCCCCGCTATTTATTTATTTTTTCTTACAAATGAGTTTGAGTCCATGTGAGCAATTCGTCTGATATTTGCCATTCCTTTTTTGAAATTGTGCGGGCGTAGCCCGCACCGCCCGCACGGCGGGCGCTAAGCTAGTATAGTAATATATCGAATGAAAGCAATATACTGGATGAAGGCAATATACTGAATGAAGGCAATATACAAAACAAAAGCAAAAGCAATATACCCGCCACCCTCCTGATGAGCCAGTGGAACCCCGACGAAATGGTCTGTCGATGCCCCGTGTTTCTTGTCCTCTTCTCGCTTTTTGCCTACGGGTTCCCAGGGAGTTCTATTATTTAAATTTGATTTTCTAAAAAAATCTATAAATTTAGTCACCACATCGATCAACTTAAAGAGCCCACTTTGCAAAACAAATGATAAAAATAATAAATATACGTGGCAAACACGAAGATCACACAGAAGTAGTTCTTCCTTTTCTTTCCTTACTGTCGCCTCTTTAATTATTTCTTTTTCTTTTACCTCATAATACAATGCATGCCATCCTTCACAATACAATGCTTGCTACTTCTACTGTTTTACATTTGCTTTTTCTAACTTTTTTTAATAAAAATTTGGACCATTTCCTGATTAATGTGTGCCATCCTTGCGATGGGCCATGCAAATCTTCTCCGTATCGCAATTATCGTTCCAATTTTAAGGGATGTCCCGAAGGACTCACCTATGCTATTGCAATTGCGCTCTGATGCGCCGTAGCTATTTGATGATGCATTCTCACTATGTTGTGGTGTAGTTGTATTTCAAATTTTCAATTACCTCGTATATTGTTAATTGGTTTCGTACAGTTTCTAATAAATTTGTATATTTCATAACACGAGTACAATGCAGATATTCATGTGTTCAAGGTTGCAAAAAACCTCTTGGCAATCACTTTTTTTTTTTTTTTTTATTTTAATAATGACATGTATATCCTTTTTTCCTGTGCTGCAGTCAAGAGGGAACTTCTAAGGCAAGCTTGCTGCAGCTACTGAGTGAAGAATTTGCCGAAAATCGTCATCGTTGTAAATCTTGTCGAACATCGATCATCCAGTTTCATCGTGCTTGTTTGCGTGTGGAGTTTGATCCTTCTTCTTCTTCTTCTTCTTCTTCTTCTTCTTCTTCTTCCTGCAATTCCTTAGACTGGTTCTTCTTCGTCCTGGAATCGTGAAGAGTGGTTCGTCTTCCTGGGACTCTGTGAAGAATTACTCCTTTTAATTTCTGCCAATTGAAGATGGCGAAGATGCCATTGTATGATGACAGCCGGCCGGTTCGCATTGCTGATGTTGGAGGACAATTAGATGGACAGAGATAAACGCCCACCACGGACAAAAAGAGAGGGGAGGGGAGCAGAGATATGGTCTGCTTGCTAGCTGTGCTAGACCACACTGCCTTCGTGTATTAGACTGCTGTGCGATTGTTGTTTCGACTATCTCTCCTTTTTTCTATCTTCCTTTTTCTTTCTGAAGTTGGTGCGGCACTGTGAGGGAAAGGAATGGGAGCGAGCGGCAGTTGACGGAAGTGCTGTGCACTTGTTTTCTGCAGAGGAATATGGAAAATCTTTGAAAAAAAAACAAAAAAAAAAGTCGGAAAGACCGAAAAAAAAAAACTAGCTGAGTGTAATCTTATTCTCAGCGGAAGCGGCAGGTACTTCGGTGGCCAGCTGCGATTGCCTTAAGTAAACGAAGCGTAGATTAGGTTGGTTCGTATCGAAGGTAATACTTTTGTGGCAATTTAGATACGTATACAACAACAACATATATATATATATATTGTACATATATGTTTTATGTTGTTGTTGCATATATTGTGTATATATTGTCAACAGAGAATTGCCGGGTGAACCATTTGGCGGAAACACGGAGAGAAGGACGAGAGACTTGGGGGAGGGGAGGGGGGACGGAGGGGTGTGCAGCTGTGACAGTCTGTTTGGTCAGACTTGCCACCGACTTGTTGCATATTATTTAGGCAGCTGTTCTTGCTGGTCGATCGCACAAGATGGTTGCCGATGCAAAGCTCGCAGTCGTAGTTTTTTCATGGTGGGAAATAGCTCTCAGCTATTTGCAACTGGTGGTAGTCGTACTACTGCGGCAGTTGTGGAGGGCGCTCGACTATCAATTTGTGAGGAATGCGCTCTGTTTAGTGGGGCTAGGACCGGCATTGGCATCAGTGGCAGACAAGAGCCTGCTTGCATGTGACGACGACGGCAGCAGATTCGCAAAGGGAAATCAGAAACCACATCGCAAGTTTCTTTTGCCCCCAAGACGAGAGGAGGACAGAGATAAGCTCACGGTTAGTACTTGTCTAACACCCCATAAAACCCGGTTATGCTTCCCTGCCTTCTGCTCCCACTTCTTCCCCTCCCCCCCACCCAACACCCCCAGCTTCTCCCTCTCTTACTCTCTCTCGTTCTCTTTCCGTCTTTTTCTCTCTTTTTCTCTCTCTCTCTCTCTGCTTCTCTTTGTCGTTTTCCCCCAGTCGGTAAAGTTTTGAGTGTGTTGGATAAATCCTCCGTCCCTCTCTCTCTCTCTCTCTGTCTCTCTCTCTCTCTCTCTCTCTCTCTCTCTCTCTCTCTCTCTCTCTCTCTCTCTCTCTCTCTCTCTGTGTGTACGTGTCTTTCTCTGCGTNCTCTCTCTCTCTCTCTCTCTCTCTCTCTCTCTCTCTCTCTCTCTCTCTCTCTCTCTCTCTCTCTCTCTCTCTCTCTCTCTCTCTCTGTGTGTACGTGTTCTATTCCCCAGTGTCCACAGCTTGACTGTTTTCTTTTTTTAATAACTGTGTCCTACGCTGCCTCCTTGCATGTTTTTAGGGTCCGTACCACCGTCTTCACCCGAATTGAACGCTCGGCTCATTATAGCTGTATTTAGGCCGTCGGTCTGTCTAGCTAAAATGACCGGGTGTTCTATTTGGATGAAGACGGTAGGCCTGGGAGAGTATGAATGCAGCACCATTTTTGATAAATGGGAATTCAAGGACTAGGCGTCTTCCCTATCCTCCATCTCACTTTGCACAATTGACCTGCCAAGGTGTTCGCGGGTTCTGTTGTTTTGCGGAATGCGGCCTCGGTGTGACGCTCGCGTGCAGCACATGTTTGCACACAAGTACATAGCAGCTCTCAATTTTCTTGCACGCTGCCATAGAGAGATGGGCCAAAATAAAAAGACTTCAATACCTGAAAAAAAGAACTGCTGGCACCAACTCTGCGGGATTTGAGCCCCTTACCTGTCACGAAACACAGGGAAAAAAGGCCTGTGCAGAGCGCGGAACCTGCTGGCCGTGGGAAAAAAAATTGGCTGGGCGCATTGGGAAGCGTCTTCCCACCGTTTGAAAGGCACATTGTGGGCCTCCCGACCAACAGGTTCTTGCAAACAGATGGATCGAGAGCTTGCCTGGAGCAGAGGATCCAAAAGAATATATTGGTGGCAAGACAGCCTTAATTCAGCTTGCTGTACGGTGTCTGTGTCTACGTGCAAAGTGAGATGAAAAATAAGCACAGCAATTAGCATTGTGGCAGAGGATCCAAAAGAACATAGCATACTTGCGGCACACCTATGCAGTGCGCTGTGCGGTGCGGTGCGCCGTGCGCGGTACGCTCATGAGTGATGAGCGCGCACGTGCACACCACCCGCAATTCGCACGCATGGAAAGTGTGCTGCTGTACTTGTGACTGGCCGGCATGTGCGCTCACTGTTACATATGCCATTTCTTTTTTTTTTGTTTTCTGTGTGTAAGTCGGTGTGAACAGGGCCCGCTCATGAAACCAAGCGTTTTCATTTTGTTTTTGTCTTTCCTTGGCAACAGTGACGGCCTTGAGATATCATCATCGAACTGACCTGCCCGCTCGTGAACAGGGCCGTTTCTCACATGCCTAGGGTCTCGCTCCACTACTCTCCAAATGTGCAAAATGAGAATGAATCTTATGAAGAAAGCCGAAAAATACACGGCCATATTTTTTGTTGTTTGTGCATGTGGTGAGTAGTGGAGCACGGCCCCTAATGTCCTTAATTCTTAAGGCAACACCATTCAGCGTCCCTCCACCACGCACCAGATGCACAGAAGACAAATTATACCGATGCACGTCCCTTTCCTTTCCCCTGTCTACTGGTTGGTGCTTTCTGGGCTGGGGCCTTGCCCTTTGTTAAGCCCACCAAAGCATCAGCCAGGGCAAGAACAGCAGAATCTGCAGCAGATGATGATGCAATCCCAGGTGGAGGGCTCCCACCCTGAGAGGCTACATCACTATCTGAACTAGAAGCTGCAGCAGCAAATAGGGCACCCTTCCTCCTTCTTCGCCCTTTGGAGGAGGGTCCCTTCCTTCCTTCAAAAGGTGCTTCCTAGACATGGAGTTTGGACTCCAAGTCCAGGGCTGCTCTGCCAAAGGACCGCCAGTCCTTATGGCCCTGAGAGAAAAGAGCAAGCTGGAATTGCTCAGGCGCTGCCCTTAGGAAATGAATGAGCAGATCCTGCTCACTCATCTCCAACCCAGGAGTCGATGTCAGACTCTCAAAGGTGGAGTACAGTTTGGACAAGGAGCCATCAAATTTCTTCTGGCCCAGGCGCATAATTTTATCTGCTGCCTTCTTGGCCTGCTCCATGTTTGCAAACCGGTCCTGCAGGGCCTGCAGAAATCCAGCCACCCCCAACCTCTGCGCCCAATCAGCCATCTCCATACCTTGCTTGTTGGAGGTGAAGGTGCACCATTTCAGTGCTGATCGCTCCAAGCGAGCAAGGATGGCTGACACCTTCACGTCCTCATCACATTTGAACCCACTCAGGTAGGTTCTCTGTGGAGCCACCCAGTCTGCCACATCCACCTTTGGGCCCTTGCCTGAGAACATGGGTGGCGGTGCCAGCTTAGGCCGCTGAAACTCAAATGGTGATAAGGGCTGTGAAGCTGCTGTTGATCTGGGTGTAAGGGGTGGAGATGTAGGTTTGGAGTGTGGGGGTGCTACAAGTTTGCCTTGAGAAGGCCCATAAGAAGGAGGAACAGGGGGAGTGGAAGGAATCTTCAGATGTGTGAAGATCAGATCCAACTTGGTAGAAATGTCATCCAACGTTTTTGAAAAAGCTGAGTGGCTGTTCTCCAAACTGGTAATCCGGTCATCCCTGTTAGTAAAATAGGACCGGTTGATATCATCCTGCAGGAGGATGAACTCAGCCATATCCTTATTGTACGGACTGGCACTTCCACTAGTTCTGACCTTTTCTACATCTGCAACCAGGAGCTTTCTCCTGGCTTCCTTCCGAGCTGCTTCCTCTTTCTTCTTCAGCTCAGCCTTTAGAGTCTCAACTGCTTTGGCCTGTTGGCGGAGTTTCTCCTCCTGGGCCCGCAGTTCAGCCTCTAAAGGGTCGAGCAAGACAGGTGTCTCAGACTGTATTGTAATCTTCAACTGCACCTGAGGCTTCTCTTCAGAGGTCTCAGCCTTTTGAGACACCTCGGCCTTCCTAGCATCAGCCATTTTCCACAATACAGATAAATAAAATCAACCAACAATCAGAGACCAAGCAGGAGGTAACAGGAATTGAGTGTTCTCTGCAGTACTAGCTCAATTGCTGTCACCTACCTGGAGAGAGAAGACTGGTTAGTCTGAGCAAGTGAGTGCTCAGTCTCAGCAGACCGCTTGAGGGTCAGCGTCAGTTAAGAGTCCACTCAGACAAAAAACAATTTCATGATTTTTCCATCCCTGCCCTGACACAACAATTGCATGCAATAATGGCAAATCCTGTTTCAATAATTGACAGGATGCAGTCTTGGATTGATTAGTATTGAGTAGTAAGTAGACAGAGTGACTAATTAGGATTAGACAGGTCTCCAGTGATGACCAAGATGCAGTGATTTACAGGATGGCCTATTTTTAGACTTACCCTACAGACCTCAACATTGTATGACCTTGTATGCCATACCCTGGGTATGGCGAATTCCAGTTTTCACTGTAACTGACCCAGAACATCAAATCTGGATATGCGATTTCAGACACTGACAAAATACTGAACTGCGATTTACCAGGGACTGACATAACTGAATTTTGACGGACAGAATCAAAGTTATGACTGCCCTAGTCTAGCCTAGCTTCAGCTATGTCAGCGCAGAATTCAAATTTGCATTATCACTGATAACAGACCTCTAAATTCACCAATTCACTGCACAGTGTCAATCGCAATACTGTAAAACAGTCCCAGATGAAATATGAGCCAGAGGGAGGTCAAACAGGGTTAGTAGAAGTCAAAGAAGATAGGTAGGGGAAGTTGGATATGGCTGTCCTACAGTCTGAATTTCGATTTTCAACTGTCACCCGACAGACAGACCAAATTTCGCTATTCTAAAAATAGCCCCAGAATCGCCACACAGGATGGAGTAAGGAACACACTTACTTCAGGGTCAACTCTGAAGAAGATGCATGAAACCCTGGCTATGGCTGACTGGTCAACCCCATCTCGCCAGTTTCACCTCCTGACAGTATCCAGTGTTCCCACGTACCAAATTGCATCAAACTTGGTGATCCAGCAGATTACCCTGAGGCGCTTCACCCCCAAATGGCTGAATCAAAGAATGATGACTCCCAGGTGCCAATAACTGATAAAGTTAGTGCAGCGCCACATCACCCTGTACTGCGCTGCCTGGAAATTGGGGATCCTGACCCAATTCCACAATCGCCACCTCCTGGGATCACTTTCCTGACAATCGCCAACCTCCAGGTGAATCGCCAGACTATATTTAGCCTCTCAGAGCCTCCCAGGCCTCTGAGTATCAATCACCAACCACTCCTGCACAACCCTAGTCAGGAGTGAGTCACCCTCTGCCCAATTCTTCTCGCCACACACTCACAACCACCACCCTTACTGACAACCACCCTGAAGATGATGAATCGCCATGAAACTCAACTCCAGTATCTCGCCAGATGGTGATGGATGCTCCAACTCATCAATCACTCCAGAGCCTGGGTCCAATTGCTCTGATACCAACTGTCATGATTCTGGTTGTTTGTTGCCTGTAGGCCAACACTCACTCACATAGACTTCCAGGTATGCCCATGCATACACAGAAGGAAGGGGAGAGGATGGGAGTATCACACCGCACAGGGAGAGATAAACACAGCGGAAGACTTGACCATGCGATATGACAGGGTACACTGAAAGTGCAATTCACTCCATTCAATCCTCACAACCAGTCATAGAGAAAAGCCGAGCAGATCACATCCAGGAAACAATGAGACGATGATAGTCCAAACACAGTATCTCGCTGTTTATTAAACTCAGAGTCTCAAATTGTCAGGATAACTCCAGTACTACAGTGCGCTGCTCAGAAGGAGCAGCGCTTCACTCCCCAACCCTGAATAACACCCGTAACACCCCTGAGCCCCTGAAACATCAAGCGCCACCTAGGTACAGCCTCCTGAGGGGAGCGCCACCCTGCAACAGGCCTCTGAGGCCAAGCGCCACTCAGAGGATGGAGAAGAAGACCAGCGCCACAGTATCTGATGATGACGAAGTGTCGGAAGACTTCCCGGGTGGAAGTCTGTAGCAGCGCCACCCAAACCCTGACAAGATGACCTCTGAGATGAAGAAGCTGCAGCTATGGCTGCACCGCAAACCCCCTGGGACCCCACTCCGGAGGAGGGTCCAGCAAGGCACCAATCTCTCTCGCCTCCAGCAGACCTCGATAACCCAGTCCTCTGTCAGCCCCTGCGTGCTGGCAGAGTACAGCGCAGGTCCCAGCGATGGCCTGCACTCCGAAGGTCTGGCTATGCCTGTCTCCTTCCACGCTGAGCCGTCACCACTTCCGGTTCAAGCGTAGCACATCAGCGATGTACTTGGTACCAACTGCCAAAAGCCCCGAACCGATGTGCCCATCCTATCTATACACTACCGCTAGCCTAGACTCGACCTAGACCGGACTGACTGACCGACCAGTACCGTATCTGTTTCGGCCTCTCGGCCTCTACCGGACCCGGCTATAGGCTATAGGACCGTCTATCAGATTAGGCCCTTAGGGCCTGTCTGTCCTAGGGGTAGCCCGGGCCTGCTATCCGCAGTTAGGGTAGCTGTAGGGAATCGAGTTAGTACCGGGCCTGTATTTTCCCGGATTTACAGATATGTCCCTCACGAATTACCCTCACAGGTAGGTCTCTCGGTTAGCCCTCAGCCAAAGAAAATTACGAATCTGTCCTACCTATAATACAGCCTCGACAGAGAGAGGCTACAGGTGACCAGAAACAGCAAGTCATTGCATGGCGGCGTACGGCTCCATGTTCTAAACATTTGTAGTGGAGGGAAGCCCTGAAAAGCACGTGGCGAGTTGGCCTGCTACTGCCCAGAAACTCGCGTGCTCAGTGGTCCCATAACTGCTGAAACACGGACCTTAAAGTGAATCAACAGCATATATACTTGGCGTGCCATGACTTCAGTATGGCTTTGACTACCACCTCGTTCATGGCAACGTGGCCCTTGCTGATTGTGTGCAGGGGCCTCTAGGATAAGCCGCAGGGGGGTTGAAATAAATATTAAGGAGCTATTTGTTTACATTTTCTCCCCTCTCTCTCTCTCTCTATCTCTTTTGCGTGTTCTCACACATAACAGCCGTTTTTTTTTTTTTTAGCGCATCGGTGACCAGCACACTTGCGACGCAGGTATGCTCCAACCCCAATCCCCCCATACCCCCCCCCTCCATCCCCAAAAGTTTCTCAGCGGATTTGGGCTGTACTCAGCAAGCGCAGTACAGCCCCCAACTCAGATTTGAAAAAAAATCAGGTATGCTCCAACCCCAACCCCCCCATACCCCCCCCCCATCCCCAAAAGTTTCTCAGCGGATTTGGGCTGTACTCAGCAAGCRCAGTACAGCCCCCAACTCAGATTTGAAAAAAAATCAGTGGATGGTTGTTTTCTGACTGGTCGGCGGACCGCCTACCGGTCGGCCCCAATTGGTCGGGGCAAAACGGTCGGCGGTTGGGGTCGGCGGTCGGCGCCGGTGCAACCCTGTTAGGGAAAATAAAATAAAGTTTAATGAAGTTCACCAAACGGATTTTGTTTTTTTTTGTTCTTTCACAAGTTTTATGTTGTTTCTTTCAATTTGGATAAAGTCCTGAAATAGATTGTGTTTTGTGGAAAGAAAAGAAAAAGAAATGCATTGTAACTGGCAAACTGCTGTTCACTTGTGTTTCTAATTTGGGTAATTATGTGCGAGAGCAGAGTGGAGTAGTGTACTCGACCATACTCGGACTGGAAAACATTTCAACATAATTTGCCCCTAAAGGCAGTTGTTCATTCTTATGTTTTTTAACAAATTTCAAATCCCAGTTTAAGGCATGTAAGTGCGATACAAAGGCTTTTTAACGAACTTAACCAAAATTTAGCCCAGGTTAAGGAACTCTAGCTCAATTTGGCCAATTTTTTCCCAGTCTTGGAAACTTTAACCCAGTTTAAGAAACTTTGAAACAGTTTAAAGAGTCTTTAGAGTTAATTCATCCAGTTTAAGTGGGTGAATTGGGGTTTAAGTGGGTTGCGATTGGTAGCTGGATGACTAATAGGGACTCGAGTGCTACCGTCTTCACCCGGAATATAACGCCCGTTCATTATAGCCCTATTTGGGGCCATTTTCTGTCCAGATGCAGCGATAATGACCGGGCGTTCTATTCGGGTGAAGACGGTGGATACAAGATTGATGAAGGGAAGAAAGGGAAAAAAAGAAAGAGACAAGATCCCTGGGGGGGCTGTTTCCAGAAGAGAAAGGAAGGAAAATGGGAAAAAAAAAAGAAAGATTGTGAAGATGACAATGTGAAATTGTTTTGTTGCGCTTTTTTGGCAGGTGGTTCTTGATCTGGATGAAACTCTAGTATGTGCATACAATTCGGCTGGTCTTCCATCATCAATACACCATCACGCGCTGAGTGGTGGTGTGAGATGGTTTCAGCTGCAATGCACAGCAAGTGAGAAGGTAAAAAAAAAAAGAAAAAAAAAAGGAAGAACAAAAATCCCCTCCGCTTTGTTCTCACGTTCTCGTATTGGTGCATTCGTTCACAATCCACACTGCTTGAAATTGGGTTTTCTTGTGAGCGTACCTGCCTGCATTTAATAGATTTCTAAAAAGTAATTTCTAGAAAAAGAAAAAATACATTTTTCTAATTCTTACAATATACTTAATTTATAAAATAGTTCATTTATAATGAATTAAAATCATAATCTATATAGAAATATAAAAAGAGATATAAATCTATTTCTATGGCCACATGCGATTGCCATAGTCTTAGTTACTGCTAGCGACATTTGCACATTGGTACGTGGTGCCGCTGAATCCCTTGGAACTTGGGTTTGGTTCGGTGATGGGGAGCTCAGTTTTCATGATTGAACCTTTTTGTTCTGAGCGTACCTAGCTGGCTTCACATTCACGTTCGATCGCCATAGTCCTGTTCGTGCTAGTCCCATTCCCACATTCGGTACATGGTGCCGCCGGGGCCCTCGGCACTCAGTCTTGGTTTTCCCTGATTGGGTTCGCGTTTCCTAACTAGACTATGTGCTGCTCTATGTTTTTGAGTCATGCAACCGTTCAACGTTCCCTGTCTTATCAGACACTTTTTTTTTTCTTCCTTTCTTTCTCGGCATCGTTCCAATTTTAATGGATGTCCCGAAGGACAGTCTAATCAGATGCTTGTTTTCCTATCCAGGCATTGATTTTGATTACCAGTTTCCGTGTGAAGACCGGGTTATTGTAACCCAGTGGGCCAGTGATGTCGTATTTGCCCAATGGACGGGACAGGAACAGTGTTCACTGCGGAGCCGGGTGTTTGGACTGCGATGCGGTACTTGGGGGTCCTGGGTGAATAGGATGTTTCTTCCATTGTCTCGACTGGAAGATAGTTCGTGGGCGTTGTCGGCAGATCGGATGGAGGCATATATATCATTCTCTCCGTTTTCTCCGTTTCTTGGTTTGACTGTTTGTGCACAACCTCTCTTCTGTGCTTGACCATTTTCTTGGTTGAACTGTTCAAGCATGAAACAATGCATCTCCCACCTTATGGATAAGGTCGCTGATTGGTTGGTTGTGGACCTTCTGGTGTTCTGCGCACCCAACCTCCTTTTTTTTTTTTTTTTTTTTTTTGAACGCCGAGGTTGTTGTAGAGGTTGGATTCAGAGTTGGAAGGTTCCTTGTCGGAACTCAGCCATTTGGTTATCCAGATCAGTCGCCACACCCCAGTCCTACGTCAATGGGATACCGTTGTGCGACCTTGTCTCCGGAGCAATACAACCTTTTTCGCATGTGTGTGTGTGTATGGGTGTGTGCATGGCGGGGGTGTTGGGGTGTATGTATCTGTGTTCGTGTGGACGTGTGTGTGTGCGCGCTCATGACCTTTTGTGTGTGTGTGTGTGTATGGGTGTGTGCATGGGTGGGGGGT